TGCCAAAAATCTGCAAATAGCAAAAGGCACTACTTCAAGATCTGTTTGATATACAGTGGAAACCTGATAAGTAAAATCTCAAGGGACTCGCCAAAATTGTTTACTTATCAGGTATTTTACTTATCCAAACTTATAAAAACCTGCAAATGACAACCATATGCATGTATATGTATGCATATGTAACAGTGAACAACTTATCAGGGCTGACAGTATATTGTCAACTGCATGACGCCAGCGAGCTAAAAGTAGGATGTTTGTTTGACTAGAGACTGACACGACTGCCCCACTGTATCTGTCAAGTCTTATAGAAAGATATTGAACGTTTTTTGAGTTGTGATTCGGAAACAAAACCCAACCCCTCCCTTTGAGATTGAGTCCAAAACGTTTCAAGGAAACCGAGAAAAATAGAAATGGCAAAAATCTGTAAATAGCAAAAGGCACCACTTCAAGATCTGTTTGATATATGTGCCAAGTTTTGCTGAAAGATATTGAAAGGCTTTCGAGTTGTGATTCGGAAACAAATCCCAACCCCTCCCTTTTGAGATTAAGTCCAAAACGTTTCAAGGAAACCGAGAAAAACAAAAATTGCAAAAGTCTGTAAATATCAAAAGGCACCAATCTTGGATCTGTCTCATATATCTGCCAAGTTTTGCTGAAAGATATTGAACACTTTTCCAGTTGTGCTCCGGAAACGAAACTCATCTCTCCCTTTTGAGACTAAGTTCAAATCATTTCCATAGAAACTGGGAAAAATATCAATGACAAAAATCTGTTAATAGCAAAAGGCACCACTTTGGTATCTGCCTCATATATCTGCTCTGGAAACGAAGCCCACCCCTCCTTTTTGAGACATATTCCCGAATTGTTTCCATGGAAACCGCGAAAAATATAAATTACAAAAATCTGTAACAAGCAAAAAGCACCACTGTAGGTTCTGTTTGATATATATACCAATGTTTGTTAAAAAAAATATTGAACGGTTTTTGAGTTATGCTCTGGAAACAATGATTACGGACGGACAGACAGACAGACAAGGCGTCAACTTGATTTACCCGCATTACATGCAGGGGGGATAAAAAAATGAGCATCACAAAATCACACATTCTATACTAGCCACATAAAGAAACTGTGCACACAGAACATTCCTTCAGCATTGGAATACAACACAGAAAAGATGAAATGATGTAGACACTTTATCAGTGTTCACGAATAGCATCTGACCCTCTGACAAATCCGGCAGATTTGCCAACGGTCCGATAGAAGTCTACCTGCCGCCGGTCCCAATGTCTGACTGTATATTTCACAATGACTTTGACTGAAGTTGTTATATGTGACATGTGACACTTGTTTGCTGTTTATAAATATTATGCATGTAAATAATTTCAATGCCAATTATAAGAAATGTTAAATCTGAAGTGTGTGTTTAATTTTATTCTATGGGTCCTGTGAATTTTCAATAGGTCAGACAGACATCTGAAACTTACAGGACACTATGTCCTGTTAGTTTGAAACAGCATTTGTGAACACTGCTTTATAAGCTGAAGTATTCGGCAACAACAACATGTCAAAAGAACATGAACAATATCCGTAACGATGACGTCAGAAGTTCAAAATTGAGTAGGGGGTCACATGTCGGAGTCACAAAGTCATTAACGGGTTTGACCATCATGCGCGTGAAGCACAGCAATGCATCGTCGACGCATAGAGGCTACTAAATGAGCATTGAAGGCCTGGGGAATGGTTTCGGACGTGGTCACTGTTGTCTGGAACCTGTGTCTGAGATGAGTCATCTGAATCCATCTGTCCTGTCTTGGCGTCTTTACTTGGGGACGCCCAGAACGTGGGTGGTCGGCGACGTCATTACTGTTTCCATAACGCCTGACCAATGCAAATATCGTGTTACGATGGCATTGGAAATGTGCTGCCACCTGTTGTTGGCTCATGCTTGCTCATGCCTGCTCGAACCATTCCAATGCTTTCATGACGTTGAGCAGATGTTAATCTTGGAATGATGTGCATGTGACTTCTCATGTGAATTTGTGAACGTTTGAATGACCAAAGATCAAGCTTTCGACAGTGACAGCAATTTCTGAGTTTCACATGTTGTGTGCAGCTGCACCGGTAAAAACTGTAGAAATGAGGTATCAACGCCGAGGTTGGAAACAGTGTTGAAGTGAAAACTGCAGTAGACAAAGTCACTGTAGGTACCGTAGTGTGCGAACTAGTAAACAAACCATGATGACAGTATGCGCATAGAGGGAACCAGATGATTCGGCAAAAGCTGACCGTCCAGCGAACACTGTCGGATCGACGAATACTGTTAGCAGCGATCTGGTATGGTGCAGCGATCAGGATCGATTAGGTGATCTGGTTCAGTACTGTGATCCAGTTGTGTCAAGTGATCAGGTTCTAAAGCACTGAGTCAATCAGGACCAGTGCATTCGTCTTAAACGTTGTACCATACAGTAAAGGTGTACTGGACTAAAAGGTGTTCCAATCAAACAACAGTTCACTAATTTGAATCGTTGTTCTAATCGAAAAGGTACACTGGGCTGAAGTGTTGATCCAATCGAATGCGCCTGCAAGGTACGGGAAAGGTGTTGAAAGGGCCGCACTGGATGCTACCGTCATGGCTGATGTCACCACAGAAATATATGAGAGCACCAAACTGGAACAAAACGCCGCATTGGAAGCAAGCGGCGCATAGGTTGAAGCGCCGAACTGATCCCTGTGGTTGGAAGCGCCGAACTGACTGTACTCGCCACATGAGAGTGAACGCTTTCACCAAGCGAACCCACCAATAGCAGAGGGGTGGTGGAGCACTCAACCAAAGCGGCGAACTGGAAACAACCACCTGCCAAGGTAAAAGGCCGAGACTGTGCTACAGAGGTTGTTAGCACTAGGTACCACTCTCGGAGCAGATAAAACTTGAACGGAGACGGGACTAGACGTTTGATGACGAAGGAGACGACGGAGATACTCGCTCAAGTAGGAGTCTTGTGGCCACCTCTAAAAAATCTACGTCTAGATGCAACCCGTCGATATTCAGAAAAATCATCATCATTGAAGCGTGAACAAACAGAACACCGATGTGACCAACCAGAACAGCCTATACAATCCACACGCTTTGAGGAAAAGTTGCTGTTGCACTGATCACAGTGTTTGCGTTTCTTAGAAGAACTTTGATTCCATTTATTTCCCATCTTGACAATCAAATAATGTCTAACTGAGAGAACAACACACGTCCACTCGGTGTAGCGACAAGAAAGAGAATGACAGGCACAGGTAGTCACATGATCATCTGAGCGAGCTGTACGCTTACGGAGATGATTGGCAGGTGCTGATGTCGGAGTGGGGGCAGAGGTCAGGGCGGGTCAGAGGCCAGTAAGATTTTATTCAACTTAGCCTAAAGCACGTTTCCACACATGGTCGTAGAAGAAGAGAGGTGCATACGGTGAGATAGGATAAGTTTAAAAATTCATATTTCACTGATCATGCTGACAATGACTAGGCAAAACATCAGACTTGCAGCAAACATGTTTTGAAAATTACCGGCGGCTTATGCCGACGGGGTCTGAAAATTCCGGCTGAACTAGTTTTTATCCGGAGAGACAAAGTAATCAGTATTCGTAACGATATACTGTTAATAAATGTGTTGAAAAGTCTGCCGTACGTGTTGCTTGTTTTTCGAGAATGTTCATTAGACCTACATTACAATTGACACAATCAGAAAATGAAAGCGATCCAACTAAATTCGATAAATGTGTTCAGAATGTCATTCGCTATCTAAATGCCTGTGAAATGTGCAAATAATTAATGTTTATATACCTGTGGTGAACTTCAATCTGCATTTCACGAGTTGAAAACAACGATTCTCGGACACATGCTTCGGCAGCGGGTCCACAATAACATTGTCAAAGAGCAAAGTAACGATGTTTCGAGGAATTCATTAAATAAATTGAATAAACTAATGAATAAAATCAACAACAACATTCATAAAAGTTGTCAAACGTACATATAAAATTACTATTTCCATCTTTTTGTGCGATCATGTAATGTAAGTCAAGTCACTGACAAGTGACATCTCGGCTCTCGCCGCCTCAATCTTCACGCTCGGACACGATGTTTAATGCTAAAATATATACATGAAGCATTTTTGTCACAGGTCATAACCTAGCACGATACGTCCAATAAGTTCCATAATTTACGTATAGGTAGCGATTTCTTGCTTAATATGTTCAGAATAGCATTATTTTACCCAAAACTTTTGTCTAAATCTAAAGGTTTTCGTTTACGAGGACGGTATCCATTGCCGTAATATGATTGGCTGCTTTAGGTCACGTGTCTGATTTTGACCAATTACGACCCTTATAGCAGACTGTGGCGAAAAAGCGTCATTAGAAACCAATCTTTATCCAATAAAATCGCTTCTTACAACTGTGAAAAAACTCTAGAGTCTATATTTAGATGTGGGATTGCCACCCTAGTTTTCAATACGTTTGCATAATGATCTGAAGAGAACAAAGAATAAACAAAGACGTTGTTAACTGCAAGTTTATTAAATCTGCCGATAAAAGGCAACTTTAAGCAATACAAAATTTACCGGCGGCAGCTACCGACGGCAGTTGAAAATACCGGATCTTCACAATTTTTATCGGTAAAAATCCGGTAATTACCGGAGAACGGGAACACTGGACAGAAAGGTTTTCAAGAGTTAAAGGGAGATAATTCATGACTATACTATTGTGTCTGCATACAACACATATTAGTTTTTATATTATACTTTGCTTGTAATATTGCATGTTTGACTGCAATCCCACATTTGTAATATATCATAAATCATACATTCACATGACTTTTAACTTAATGACTTGTTTGTTTGCTACAAATATTTCCATCTTTCTTTTACAATATAAAACATGTAAGTGAAAGAAAGAAATTGCATTTGAGAAGTAATTACAGCAACATTTAATTTTTTTACCAAACAATAGGATACTTACGCAAGTTGGGACTTGGATTTGAAGTTTCCAGTCTGCTGTAACAGGTCTGACAGCCTCATCCTCCATTTCATCTCACTTTCATATAATTCCTGCAATCGCATTGCTTCCATCTCCTTTGTCTCACACTGGGACACAGCCTTCTCATACTTGAGTTTCAGATCTAGATTGTCAACCTGAAGAAATGAGGAGAATCTAAATAAATCTATTCTCATAAGATTTGCTTTACCAGACATAAACATAATCTGCACAATAACGATTATTTCCTGAATGCACCAAAACTTTCCCACCTCAAACATGAACCATATATACCAAATGAGGGGATATTATCTATCTATGTTCATCTGTGATCCATACAGTCCAGCAGGTACATGTAACATCTGAGGGAATTGTGTAAGTGCATTGTCTACAAGGCCCACTTGCACAAAGCAAACTTAGTTACAATCGATCTTAGGTCCCTGCAATCAACATTCCCTCTGGATTATGGTTGCCTTTTATCTGTGGGTACCACTGAGACATATGGAAATGAAATTTTAAACTGTCATAGGTATCCCTAGTGGTAACCCTATGTATAAAATTGATTCTCTCCCCTTACTGTGACACCACAGCGTGGCTGTTTGAAAAGCTCATAATTTTTCTGTATGGGCCACATTCAAGATGTGTTACAGATTTGGAAGTGATTCATGTTTCTTTAAGTTTCATCATACTATATGGGTTAGTGTTGTCGCATTGGTTTCTACTGAACAATCGCAATCAATAACTTTGTGTGAATTTATGTGAGATTTCTATGTGATAGAGACTCAGTTTTTCCCCGCCAAAACATCATGTCTCAAAGCAAATGCCTGCGCGGGTCTCCTGCACAGGAAGAGCATTATGCTGGCAACAGACAACCCCACAGTAGTTGCATATGTCAACAAGCAAGGAGGGACTAAAATATGTTACATTTGGGATTACAATTTCTTAGTAAAGTACAAATTCTTGTACTTTTTGAGTTGAGCCCCATCCGGGATTTGAACTCGCACCCTCAGAGTCAGGCACCTAATCGCCAGCACACAAAGTCAGCCGCCTAACCCGCTCAGCTACCGCAACTTCCACAAAAATGGAAGTCGGACAACTGGTAGTCTAGACTGCAGGCTTTGTGTACCCCTCTGATAAGTGTTAAATTGGCATGGCTCCCACAGCCGAAAGCTTCTCTTTCTTAGCAAAGCTAAGACATTGTTATGGTGTTATTTGTCAAACAACTAAAACACATTTCAATTACTTGAAGTATTCTACAGTTCAGAGTTTGAAAAATGTTCACACTCTTTCACTTACACACCAACTCCTTTGTTCATGTAATGAAGATAGCAGACACAAACAAATTCCTATAAGGTTCAATTTGTTTTTAAAATTCAAAGGATTTCAAAGAGACTCCCTTCCTATTCCTAATGCAATACTCCTTACAACTTTAAGTAGTATTAAGTTGTATTAGGATATATCATCTCTTGTGGCAATACATCGATGTATCATGGACCCTAGCGATATAAACATCCTGATATATTGCTTAAATGTGTTTTGTATCGATGCATTCGTATCTTGTAGTTGACGATGCAAACATCGATACTATCGATGAATCGTTACACCACTACAAGCAGCAGAAACCGTATCACATAATCTTTATGGCTTTGTTTTATGATTGATAGAAAAGAAAATGCGTCCAAAATGGAGACATAATACAACGCCCACCGACCTGGTGTGGTCTATCAAAAAGTAGCGCATTTTAATACATAAAATTTGAAAAAATACATAAAAAATATGGGTACACCAAATGATGGCATATGCCATTTTTCGTATTGTACCTGGAGCATACATTGTACCTGGCATTTACATCAAACATTGTACCTGGAGCATACATTGTACCTGGCATTTACATCAAACATTGTACCTGGAGCATACATTGTTCCTGGCATTTACATCAAACATTGTACCTGGAGCATACATTGTACCTGGCATTTACATCAAACATTGTACCTTGAGCATATATTGTACCTGGCATTTACATCAAACATTGTACCTGGAGCATACATTGTACCTGGCATTTACATCAAACATTGTACCTGGAGCATACATTGTTCCTGGCATTTACATCAAACATTGTACCTGGAGCATACATTGTACCTGGCATTTACATCAAACATTGTACCTTGAGCATATATTGTACCTGGCATTTACATCAAACATTGTACCTGGAGCATACATTGTACCTGGCATTTACATCAAATGTTGTACCTGGAGTAAACATCACAGCAAAAATAACAAGGTTTCCAGTTTTCCGGAAACCTACATGAAACATGTAGGTTTCCGCTGACAGAAACCATTATTCTTGGTTTCTGGCTGTTTCCTTTTGCTGAAACTAGGTTAGTTTCCAGAAATGGAAACTACTGGAAATCAACAAAGTTAGTTTCCAGAAATGGAAACTTAGAGTAAAGTATTATTGGTAGTTTCCATTGCATAAAGCAGCTGGAAACCATCATTGATGGCGACTTGAATGAAACAAACGTAGAGGAAATTAATTTGACTCCATATATACCAGTATATACAGCATATATCCAGACACCCACATAAACCTACTTAAACTGCCCACGTATAACATATAGATAGGTTTCAGTGTAGTGATCTCAGTGTTTCTGTACACCAGAATTCAAATAAAAGATATTGTAACATAAAATTAATTTCAGGAAATATTAAACTAATTTTAAAGAATATGGAAACTGAATATTCTACTTTGTCTCCTTTACATTTTGTTTGGTAAACTTACAGATAACTTAAACTTATAAATTACTGAGAAACAGGTAAGGCTCCATTAGGTTTCAGCTATCCTAATTCCCAAAACGCTCCATTGGGTTCCAGTTACACATTGGCTTTCTGTTTGTAATATTTCTCAAGGTGATACATACTGATATAACTAACTAGGAGTGGCTATGCACAGTACACATAACTGTTCATAAAAGGACAATATTTTCGTAAGTGTTTATGAACATAATACAGGCCACAACAAATTATACAGTAGACCTATAGACAGAAAACATTTTTAAGTTTAACTTCATCTGCCAGTGGTGAAAATGTTAGGCTTGAAAGAAAATGAAATCAATGTACGTTTTGCCTCAGAATTAGAGCATTATCATTATCAATATCTATTATTATATTTATAGACACTTTGGAACTTCATAAAGAAGTACAGGATCTGTGTTTAGTGATTTATAAAGTGACTGTAATTTCTAGATATGTTATAGAGTACCAAAAATATAAAGGAATCATATTTCACACACATCTGCCCAAAGTGTGACATAGTACATGTTGTCTGTCTCACCTAGAACTTCAAAGCGAAAAAATTGACGTGGAATGATTTTGTTGAATGCTACAACAAAAGCAAAAACACAAAAACAGATATCAAAGTTAAAACCAACTAACATTATAGCAAAACTATTGGACTATTACCTTGTTCGAGAAATGTATCCATCAGTATCCTCATAATGGAACGCTATGCCATTCATCTGTAGCTGCCAAAAACCTGTTCACGTGACTTTGTTTCATTGGACACCAAAGAAAATACACCTGACAAATTCTTACATAATGTCCACAATTCTTTTAAAAAATCAAATTTTGTCGGTTAATCCTTGAAGGAAGGTCGCTGTGTTAACATGACAGAATGTGGGTGTATTCAGTGATGTCTTACCTGGAAGTAGACATTTGTTAGTACAGTGAAAATCATTTGGTGGGGGTGGGGAGTGGGGGGGCCTGACAGAGCATATTGTTTTAAGGGATTAACTTTCTGGGTTATACTAAATTCTGAACTCACCCCTTGTTCACTTACACAATTTAAATCAATGAATTTGAACTCACTTAGTTTGTTTTGACAATCATTCATTGATTGATATGAGTAAGCACCAATTAATCAATTTGGGTACATAATATGCTGGTCATACTTTCAAATTCATCACTTTCATTATGGCAAACCAGTAGTTAGAGTAAAAGTTCATTCTGACTTCACGAGGTGGAAGATATCTATGTATTGATGTGTAAACTTTAGAGAAATGCGGCCTCCTGGATGTCCTGGGGATGTTGGGGGGATGTTGTAGAGACTCAACTATCTCCACTGGCGATGATATAGTCACCAAACATCCTGGCATACATAGCCACGAACGTGTCAACACTGATATAAAGGTATCAATATCCGCTGTGATAATAAATACAACATATAACAAAAACATAATTTACAATGCCACTGATGATTTGTCTGCAGGCAGAATAGGTGTACTTGCGCACGCAGATGCAGTTTCATGTGTACTATGTATTATGAAATTGTTTTATCGTGATGATTAAAATAATTTGTGCTAAAATGTCAATTCAATGAATTCTAATGTTGGAATGATATATTGTTTTGTTGCCATATCATGAATAAAATAGAATAGTCTCTAAAATCTGGTATATTTTACGTATATCACTTCGTGGTACAATTTATTTTCAACTTGCGAATTTAATGTTACCGAATGCTTATCATCATAGATTATGTCCATTAGTGTTGGGAATCGGTTTCTAAGTTACTATTAAGTCTAAATGATTTACCAATGTGAACTGACATACATATATATTTTTTTTCATTCAGTAATTTGCACCATTACATAGAAACGTTTTTTATTAGTATTTTATTTTTTGAAGTGGTAAAAATGCATTACACTGGACACGTCAGTCATGTTTGTGCCGGTTCGGTCAATGCATTCTATTTATAAGGATTATTTCAAGGGGTTAGGTAAGTTAGAGTTAGGGCTTAGGGATTAGGGGTTAGGGACCTAATCCAATATAGTAGGTACATGTCCGGTGTAATACGGGAGTACCATTTGTTGTTTTTCCTTTTGCATTTTAATACTGCCGGTTCGGTCAATGCATTCTATTTATTAGGATTATTTCAAGGGGTTAGGGTTAGGGCTAGGGCTGAGTGTTTAGGGTTAGGGACCTAATCCAATATAGTTGGTCCGGTGTAATGTGGAGTACCATTTGTTGTTTTTCCTTTTTGCATTTTAATACTTTTTTTTCACACAAAAACGGGAAACCAAAAACGTCGAAAGTACACTATGAAACGGTTTAATGTAGAAATTTTGGGCTAATGGAAATTGGCCTGGAATTTGCACTCAAGCCT